TTTGGCATTTGCCTGTTTTACTTGGATGGCATGAACCTGCTCTGCTTGGCATGGTGCCTTTGTTAAACAGCTGAGGCAAAGGTTGGTGCTAATTTGACAGGGTTTGGGATTTGATCCAGGAGGAAAATGATTGTGCATTGCTTGGTGTTGCTGGAAGAGCTGGGAGCTCCTGGTTTCTTGGTGCCAGGTGCTCTGGAGTCTATTCAAAGAGAAGGGCTTGCCATGGGTGAAGTCTCATCTCCCACCAGTGTAACTCAGTCCATGAGAGCAGAACTGACTCCAGGATTTTTTCCAATAACTTTTTTTTCAGTGACAAAACTATGCAAGAGGCGAGGGATGTGTTAGCCTCCATGACTGCATTGCTATGTTTTTTTCTGCATGAGTGTGATAAGCAAAAAGTTAAGAGATTAGACTGCTTTACTTCTTTTTCTTTCTTTCTTTCTTTCTTTCTTTCTCATGCTTGAGGTCTTTCCTCCACATTGCAGGGCTTAGAAACGTCCTTGCAGAGAAAAGAAAGCAATCCCAAAGGGATGCTCTTGGGGATGTACCAGACACATCCTGATTCATTAATGCTGAAAATATTACTGATTCTGGTTGGCATCTCCCCTGGTTTCCTTTTGAAAGAAAGCCTCCCAGTCTTTGGGGATCACACCAGCAGCAGGAGGCCTCCTCCAGTGCTCTGGCTGGTGTAGGGGGTCAGGACAGAGCTGGATTTCCCCCTCGTATCTTAAACATTACACACCAATAGCCTCTATCCCAGCACTTTGAAAGTATAAATGATTACCAAATTGCTTCAGCAATTGCTTCAGCAAATGTCTAGAATTTGTCTAGTAAGTGCAGGTCACTTTTGTTGTGGTCTTTTTAATCTTGCATTAATTCCCATTAATTTTCAAAGATGCACAGCAGAGACTGAAAAGGCTGGGCATAAACATCAAATGTACGTTGTCCTTGTATCTATAGTTATTTCTCTTACTGTGGGTGTATTATAGCATGTATACGTGTTGGACTTCTTTCTTTCAATCATGTTGACTTTGTGGTCTCAGCTGCTTTGCTTGGAAGTGAGTCTCAACATGTAGTGGTCCGTTACAACAAGTATCTTAAACGGGGAGTGAATTAGCCAGATTTTAACATGGCTTGGCAGCTGCTTTCTCCTGCCTTTTGCAGCAGACTGGGATCTCTTCTGGCCATCAGTTGTCCCCAGTGCATTATAGCCAGCAGCCCTCCATGCCTTCAGCAGGCTGAGGGACCTGGGGCACTTGGTGGGATGCTGAGGGGTGGCATCTCCCCATCATGTAGCCTGCTCTGCTGGGGTGAAGAATCCTGGCTGTTGTTCCTTCCTGCTCCTGGTAGTGCCAGCTCCAGCTTGACCTTGCCACAGGCTCCGCTCCAGAGTCACAGCATGTCCCAGGAATGCTCTCTGCATCACCTTTGCCCAACTGCGTCAGGGAGCCAGTGGGAGGGGAAGGAGGCTCCAAACCACCACCCCATGTCATCAGGAGCTGGAGCCGGCTTTGCCTATTGTGGGGTGATTGTCTTGCAAGTTGTTTCTGACGAGCATAGATTTATGTGTTGGTGAAATCCCCCAGAGACTAATAACTTGTCTCAAGCAAATGTGAGATGTTTCAGGAGTGATCCCTCCCTCCCATGACATTACCTATGTTGCAGATGGGATGGGTTTTTTCCTGCACTTTTATTCAAATTATTTTTTTTCCTTTGCAAATCAGCAAGTGACTGGGGATAGCCTCCATACACCTGGTGGTTACATGGGGCTGGAGTCCTCTATCTGGATGTGCTCAGGCATCTCTTGGGATTGCTCCCAACCCCTGCAGTTCTTGGCAATTTGAGCAAGAACAAGTTCAGAGACCTGTTTGGAGGGGGAGAGCCACAGGGACACTTTGCTCCCCACTTATTGGTTGAGGAGGACATCCAGGCATGACACGTTTGAACATGAAGAAGGTCTCCACCTGAAAATGGGTACAGGAGATCTCCAGATCATCCAGACCACAGAGGAATGTCTGTGGCTTCTGAGAGCAGCCTCAGCCCTGCCTGTTTGCTGGATGCTTATTCCACCACTGGCCATCCCCAGCAGGATGGCTGTCTCTTGAAGCAGAACAAAACCAAGCCACAGGTGTTGAAGTGATGATGAAAGTAAGGGGAGCTCATGTCACACGTTCCCGGATTTTTTTGGTGGGAGAGATCCATGTGTTCTGCCTTATGCAGTGGCCTCAGCATCTACTTGGCCTCTGACCATAGATGGTGAGGACTGGGCTGGATGTGAACACCAGCTGCTGTGTACCACCAATACATAGAAGCACCGGTTACAATCCATGCCCTGCTAGTTAGGACCTTGCAACCCCAGTGCAGTGATGCTTGGTGACAAAGCAGTTGGCAAACTCTTTGGGTTTCCTACCCTCTGTGCTCCAGGCTTTCTATCCAAGCCAGGTCATCATAGTGTGTCCCATGGGAGATAGATTCCACAGGATTTTCTAGCTCAGCTGTGCAGAAATGGACCACACTGAGAGCAGGAGAAGTGAGCATCTCTGGGAGATTAAAAGCCCCTTGCTAAGATCAGTGGGAGAGTTGGAAGAAACAGTTTTGCTGGAAAGCACAAAATGAGCAAGTATGTGTTTCGTGTTGGATTCTGTAAGTTCACAGCAACTCTCCCCAGGTCGCTGCAGCTCTCCCTGCAGATGCTGCTGGTGGACACAGAGAGAACGGGGACCGTGTGCTCTCGGGACATGCATCCTCTCAAAATGCTCTCTGCCTTTTTGGAGATCTGTTTTGGAAGAACTTGGTTTCTTTTTTGAATTTCCCTTCCAGCTTGCCTCATTTCGGTGCTTTAGAGAGGAATCAGCCCTTCAAAAGAATTCAGAATTAAAAAAAAAGAATTGATACTTCATTTTGAAACTATTCTGCTCCATCATGTGCAAATTGAAGCCGTACCCATGATCCAGATGGCTTTGGATGTTTTTTCTTGGACAATCATGTGATGAGGTTTTTTGCTTGGTGACTGCTTCAAACCTGCCTTTTGAAACTCCTGGTGACATGCCTTTCATTGACTGATGAGCAAATTGAGCACAGTGACTGCTTTCCTGGAGTTCAACCTCATCTTTCTCTTCCCAACCTTTCCCAGAGGTCTTGTGTCCCCTGGCCCAGCTGATCCACCTCTTGCTGATTTGGGAAGTGTCTATGCAGAGGGTTGTCCCCTGCAGAAACAGAAATGTGAGCTTGGGGGGGGGGGGCAGTGCAGATTTGTGGTGAGGGCTGACCCACAGAGGAGCTGTCAGGTAGGGGAAGGCACGTCCTGTGGGAGTTCCCCACATGCTGGGCTTTCCTCCAGCAAGCGAGGGCGCAGGATGGAAAGGGCAAAAGATGTGACTGCTGCCTGAGCACCTCCAAAGAGCACTCAATGTATGGGGGAGGCTGAAGTAGCCCAGTTCTATCAGTGATAGAAATGGAGGCTAATTCTGCTTAATGGGCTCAGCGTCCTCTCTGCTTTTATTTAAACCTGTGTGACTCCAACAGAGTGGCTGCTGTGTGTCACCTTGTGCAAGACCTTCAGCTAATTATGTTTAACCATGAGCCTGGTTGCTGAAAGCAAGCCTGGATGGGTGGGTGCTTGTTGTCAATCAGGCTCCACATGTAAATAGTTCTGAGCGATGTTTTCACTTCAAACTGGTTTTTAATACAAAACCGTGGATCTGTCAGGGAAAATGCTTTTGCATATTGATGGCTTGATGAAAAGCAAAATGTCTCATATCAGCAGTTACAGATGAAACTTTTTTTAGGTTTGGAGTTATTTTAGCTTTGAATTTGGTGCTACTGTGAAAAAGAAAAAAACAAACCATTAAAATTTTTCAATGGTGAGGTGAGAAGTTCTACCATGGAGAAAACTAAGAGTGTTGTGAGACTTGGGATGATTTGAGGTTTCTCCTCATTTCCTACCAGTCCCCCAAATACAGAAGATCTTTTCCCTTTGGATCCAGCCAAGGTCATGCAGCACCATCAGAAACCCAGGGCTTAGAGGGGGCAGATGGTGATGCCCTGCTGGGATGTGGTTGTGCACTGCGTGTGTGAGTTCTGTCCGACCTCGGGGCACTTCAGAAGCTTGCAGTGGTGGTGTGGTTCCTACACAGGGGAAGCTTTGAGGTTTGCCTGCAGGTTTTTGGTTGAGTTGGTCAAAAACATGACTTGAAGATTGTCCTTTTGTTGGAAGCTGAGTTTGGGTTGAGTTTTTCAGTGGTAATTCCACAGCAGATGACACACCATGCTGGGGATCTTCCCTGGAGCTGCTGTCCTCATTCCTGTTCCCTGAACAACTGGGTTTCTTGTGTCCCATGATGCTGGAGGTCTTGTGACTAGGGCAGGAGGTTTCACTGGTGTTGCCTTGAAGGCATCTAGCAAGGAAGCATGAGGCATCATGTAAATCAGCCTGGGGAGGTCATGGCAGTGAGTCCTGGGAGCTGAGAGCTCCTCACGTGTCTCACTGGGAGTGCCGTGGCCACCACCCCTCTGATCTCCTTCTGAGCAGGTGGAAGGGAGAAAAAAAAATATAGGTGTTTTGATGGCATCTCAGATGGTCTTCATAGGTCCTGAAGGGCAGGAAAGCAGACATTGTGGCATTGGGGTGGCTTGAAGACAACTCCAGCTCTACCAGGCCCTAACCTGAAGACTTCTTGCTGTTAGGTGGTGTTTCCCAGCCTGGGCAGCCCGGAAGCACTCACCTCCCCTCTATCCTTTGCACCTCTGCCTCAGACTTTGGCAGAAGTGAGGTTTCCCAGAAATGGGACCAAGCAGAGGAAATAATCTCTTGGAGGAAGCATTGGGCAAGGTGGGCTTGGATATACAAAGGGGCTCCGCTTCAGTTCCCACTGGTCTCATCTTTCTCTGAGCTGGGTAGTGTGGTGCAGCCATGCGTGAGCAGCATTGGGGTGGAGAGGAGAAGGGAAAAGCTCCTGGCTTGCCCCTTCCATGCTGATTTCTTGCCCTATCACTCACAGCCACAGCTATGGACGTTGGTGACTGCATGCTGGACCAGCCCAGAGCCCCAGGAGAGAACAGACGGATGGATCCACAGGTCGACAGGGAGCTGTTTCCTGAGGGGGAACTGCTGCTCCAGGTATTGTGCCATAGCTTGGTTGTTTGAGGTCTTCCCTTGGCTCCTGCCATCCACCAGTCACGACAGCTGGTCCCTGTCTGTTGAACCACAGAGCAGCTATGGAGCACACAGTCCCATCCACAGAGCAAGAGGAGACCCTGTCTCGCCAGGAGCTGCTTCTCTGTGATTCCTGCAGACACCGAGCACCTTGGGACAGGGACCAGTGACACTGCCTGGCTGGGAGGGGTCCTTGTCCCCACCATTCTCTCCCACCCTGCACCACAGTTTGCTGCCACTTTGGTTAGGCTGCAGCAGCTCTGTATGGGCCGTGCCGTAAACTGCATCTATGAACAGAGCAGGGCTCAGGGTGGTGGGTCGTGTCCTTCTCGTAAAGGTGTTGGGTGCTGTCTGCGCCTGTAGCTGCAGGTGTTAGCTGTCACTGAGCCCAAACCTGGCATTTTTCCTTGGGACCCGCTACAGCTCACAGACCCAGTGTGCACAAGTTTGTAAATCCCAACCAGGAGGGTGCAGGATTATCGTACAGCAGTGTAGGGATTGACCCCTGATTTGACTCTGAGGTGGTGAGTTCCTAGTGTTCTAGTAAATGCCAAGAGGAGAATGGTGATAGCTGCAGGATAAAACATTTGCTAGGAATTGTTTTCCCTACCTGGGGCATTTCATGAGTTTCTAGGATGAGTTCACAGCCTGCCTGGGATGGAAGAAGCCCAGGTTCCCTTTGTAGTTTGTGGGGTGGAAAAGATGGATCTGGGAGACAGTAGTGGACAAAATCAGTGGGAGCTTTGTAGAAAGTAATAGAAAGGTCAGTATGCATCTAATGAAATAGTTCTCAATAAACCTCACAAAACAAGGAGCTGGTGATTCAGTGGGCCAGGATGCTGTTTGTTTGGGCTGCGATTTGTAAACGTAAGCTGAAAGGAAATAGGGTAGAAAGGTCACTGGAAAGGCTGGTTGCTGACTAAATATCTGGACGTATCAACTTAAAACATGCTGCTCCTTGGGGCTGCAGGGCAAGTCTGTGCAAGACCTTTAATTGTTCCATGGCTGTGTTCTTGACATCGCATGTGTCCCTGCTTTCGGGTCCTTCAGTCCTCTTCTGCCTCCTTCTACTTCTTCAAACACTAGCAGATGAGTGCTTAGCTCTCCTAAAAGTCTGACTTTTGTGCCTTCCACCCTGCTCCTGCACAGCCTTACATGAACACCCACTGTTGTGGACAGGCAGATGGGTGTGAGCAGAGCCCCAGCAGGAGACCCCATGGGGGATTTTGCTGAGGTGGTGACTCTAGGGATTCAACGTGACTTTTGGCAATGAAGTTTGGGCCACGTGGTCTCCCACGTGGGCTTTGCTCCAAGGAGCTGTCTCAGCTGTCTGCAAGTGTGATAGTCATGGAGGAATAACTGGAATAACACAATAGCCAAGAGGGAACCTGTGGTTGCCCCAGTCCCAAGATGGAGCTGCTCTCAAGTGCTCTCCAGGGGTTTGAGCTGGACCATATGATGGGAATTTGTTGAGCCACCAGAGTATTGGCAGCCTCGGGTGACTGAGCACATCTGGAGAGCTTATGAGGTGTTAATATGACAGAAATCCCCCAGCTGAGCTGCCCCATGTTTTTTCCCCACTCAAAAAGCATTTTAATCAGATACTGTAAGTTGCAGAAAACCCTGACTCAAGGCCCTTCAGGGGGGCTGCAGTGCGCAAAACAAAGGGACAAGTCCCACTGCAAGCTGGATCTGTATGGTATCAAGCAACATGCTCAATCCAGCAGCCTCTCAAATAATCCAAGTTACTAAAATAAAGACAGCCCACGTGAGCTTCAGAGTGTTGCTGTAAATGGGCAAATGCATGGGCTGTGTCAGCCGACAGCTCCTGCCTCCTTTTGGTCTGAGAGGAGAGGGTGAGCAGAGCTGAAGGAGCAGCATGGGTGGCCAGAACCTTCTTTCCAGCCTGGTCTCAAGCAAACAGCACATCCCCAAGGTCCCCTCCAGGGGCAGCTCAGCGTGCCAAGTTGAGGAGCAAGGGTAGAGTTCATATTTGTGGCAGGTCCTAGCCTGTTGCTTACGAGACCTGATGAGACTTCTGCCCACATCTTGATTAAACCCAGACTTTCACTTAGGGTTTTGTTTTCCTAATTTATCTCCTTTTATTTGCTAATAAATTAAATCTATTACAGACAAGAGCAGGGGGCAGGAATTACTGTCTAGTGCAGTACTTTCCTTTTGGAGGAAATGAGCCTGAAGTGATCACCAGATATCTCTAGATCTTCATCTTGCCTCCTTTTCTGGGTATGCACTAGATGTGTGAGCTCCCCTCCTTCCACCCCAGCCATGGTCTTCTATAGTTTTGGAATAGTTTCTCTAATTTGGTGTAGGTTTGGTCTTTTTCAAGCAAGGAGCTAGCAGTTGGGTATGGATCTAGGTGCAGGCCATGAATATGTAATGGCAGAATACAAGGTAAGAAGTGAAGTTGGCAGATGGTATGAGTACAAGGATATTTTCTTAATAGAGATCAGGGGGTTTGTGTTTAAAGCCTTATCTTCTGTCATCTAGAACATCGGCAAGAGGAGAGTAATTTTCCCAGTATGGTGTCTTATAGCATCAGTTTTATGCCAGGACGCATTTGAAAGACAATGGGGTTTGTTCCTGACAAATGTCTCAAGAGCAATGGGGCCTCTTGAGATGTTTGTCAGGAACAAGAACAAAATCAGATGAGAAGAGGTTATGTAATGGGAGACAGAAGGGAACATGAAGCTGTGGCTTCCTCAAAGGTGTGTCAGACAGTCTGCCCACTTATGTGGACCAGGGAGTGCCATGTCAGGCATCACAGATGTGATGTCAGGGTCTTCAGGAATCTGAGATCTGAATTTCCAGGTTTTTCCACCTCTCTTTGCTTTCAAGGTGGATGTTGGTCTTAGATGCATTGCCATCTTTGAATGATAGCGGTGACTGAGTTTGATCTCACTTTGTGTACTTTGTGATGAGTTGTTCATGTACCCTTGGAGCTGAGAGCAAGAGTCCGAGGGACAGTGATGTCCTTGGGTGCTAAGGATTAAAAGGCAGGTTTGGGGCCGTGATTGGAGAAAGTGTGCGGAGAAGATATATGGAAATGGAGAAATAAGCTTGTTCAACCTCCTAACTATAAAATTCAGGGTGAGGAGCAAGGCCCAAAGTGTCTTTAGAGGTTATCCTTAAAATGAATGAGAGGATAAATAAGTAAGGTCAGTGACTGACTGCAGTTTGGTTACTATCTCTGAAAGCTTCATTATGTTTGAACTGACGTTGTGCTCCTCCTGGAGTCACCAGGCTCCTGCACGTCTCGGGGCAGTCCTCCTTCCCTCCACACTGCCTGTTCCTCTTTGTTATTGCAGTTGTAGGCAGGTTTGTTAGAGTAAATCAGAGCCGCAGAAGAGTATGGCTATACCCAGCTGGTACAGCTGGAGAGGAGTTAACTTACACTAGGTCCGCCATGAAACCTCTCCTTAGCTGGTCACTTCTGACGCAGGAGCTGCTCTGTGGTGAGAGAGCTTCAACAATGGGTCTAGAAATAAGTGGTCAGTCCGTCTTGGATCATTCCTCATGGTAACACTGGAAAAAAAGCCCCAAACTAACCAGGATTAAAAGCCTTGCATGGTCCTAAGGTGCTTTCTGGTTTTGTGGGGTTCGTTGTTGATGAAGAAGGTTCCTTTCTGTCCCTGAATGCTGAAGAGACACCTGTAGAAGTTCATCTTTTAGCAGCTGGACTGAAGCTAGGGAGGGTAATTCAAAGCTCAACTTCTGCTTTCAGGCACTCAATGGATTTGTCATCGCTGTGACTGGAGATGGCTACATCTTCTACATCTCTCCTACTGTGCAGGACTACCTGGGCTTTCATCAGGTAGGTACTGATTTTTCCTGGCTGTAAACAGATAGATGCAGTCCAAGTCTGGGAAGGAGGTGCTGATAGCCACGCCAGGGCTTGCTTTCTTCTCCCTTCCCAGCTCCCTTGCATCATTTTTGTTGTACGTTTTTGAATGAGTCATGTTCTTTGGGGGCTGTGAAAGCAAACGATCGTGCTTGTGACTTTAGTAGAAACAGATTCAAGCTGAGCAATGGTAGGCTCTGTATCCTCTTTGTGCATAAGAGGGGTGTGAGATTTTTCTTGTATTGTGCGGCTGGGCACATATGCTCCCACTTACAGAGGGCTGAAGCTATCTCACTGGTGAGCAGTGTCAGTGCCCTGAGGTACCATGGGTTACACTGGATGCCAAGGAAAAGCAGATGTCTCCCCACATCCACCCTGTTACCTCTGATTCCCCAGCATCCAGCTCCTTTGGCCAAAGGACTGAGTCAACAGGAGGCTGTGAGGCTGCCAAACTAATTTCATTGCATGGGTTCCTGGTGCACCTGCAGAGACTGATGTGTTTTCTTCTTTGTCCTCTCTTTGCACCCTTTCCCAGATCACTGGGATCCTCATGGGCTGATGTCCCAAGTCAAAACAGTTGTCAGGCAGGGAGGGGTATTCTCAAAGTACCTGTATGTCTGGTTAAGCAGGAGGTTCTGATCTGGCATGTTTCATGTCACGACCATGCTGACCACCACAGCATGCAGGGCTGGAATGGGAAAGGCCGGTCCAAGGCATAGCCCTAGAACGAGTGTCTGTGTTGAGAGGCAGGAGGTGTGAGGACTTGCTGGTGTTTCTGCTGTGTGGCCAGCATCACAGCCCAGCATCAATATGTCTGTCTTTCCTTGTGGCCCACTGAAGGAAGATGGTTTGCACTGGGATACAGATTCCAATGGGTTTGGAGAAAAAGAAAACCTACAAAACCTTTTTTAAAATAGTCAATCCCCTCACATAAGTCTGGAAAAAAATCGATTGTTTTGGTCAAAATGGTTTTAATCAACTTTGAAGTTATTTTTTTACATTGATCTTGTGGAAGAAACAAAACTGCTTATTTGTGGAGGGCTAGGGATGCAACACAAGAGAGACTTTGTGTGCTGTTGCAGACCAGCAATTCGTACCCCACATACAAATTCCCCTCTGATGACCCACAGCCTTTCTGGCTCTGTCTAAATTTGGTCCTGAGAAGATGCTAGAAGTTAAGACATGCCAGGCAAATGCTGCTGCCGCAGAGTTCACCCCACAGATGGGGAGCGAAGCTTCCCAAAGAGCAGGGGCTCCCATGGCAGGGGAAGGACCTGGAGTTTCAGCGTTTCCCATGGACCGCAGTTAAGGAAGAGGAGTCAGAGACAGTGTGAAACATCCTTGGAAGGGCTGGGTGATGCCAGGCGAATCTCTGCCTTGCAGGTGAGGGGAACAGGCTGGAAAGCTCTGCTTAGGTCTGGCCAGAGGATGCTGAGGAAACAGGCAGTGTGACAGTCCTGAGCAGCCAGGGTTACTCTGACATGGCCATTTCTATTGCTTCTAGAAACCCCTGAGCCATTCCCACGATTTCTCCAGAGAGACCCCCTCTCTGCTCCTTTTTCCTCCTTCCTGAGCCACCCTCCCTAAGAAAGCAGACGGTTCCTAGTCCTTGCTCTCCACATGGTGCACAAAGCTGGTTGTAGTTGCCTGTGTCTTTAGACTCAATCACTGCACTTTTAGCACCCATGAAGGAAAGCCTCCTGCCATGTCCTCCTCCAGACACCTGTGCCAGGCTGGGCAGTAGTCAATGCTCTTCTCCCCTTGTGTCATTCCAGTCAGATCTCATCTACCAGAGCGTGTATGAGCTGATCCATGCTGACGACAGAGCTGCCTTCCGCCACCAGCTGCACAGGGCCCCGGCATCTGGCAGCACCCAGCACGTTGCCGATGGTGAGTGTCAGGGTGATCCCTGAGACCACCAAGCCACCTCTGCATGGCCACCCCATGCTGGAAAACCTTTCTGGTGGCATTTATAGTCACCAAACACAGGCCTGCGCTGAGGAGCATCCCATAACCTCCCTCTGGGACTCGCAACCATCCCAGGGGTTGCCACAGCCTACAGCAATGACATCTTTTGCTGTGCTGGAGGGTTGGGGACACTTCCCCCAAACCTTTTTGGGTTTCAGTGTTTGAAATGCTGTTTATTTCAGTGGGGGTGGCTTGTTGTCTTGCTCCTCTCTGAGAGGCAAGGGGACCAGAAGCTATCATGAACTGGTAATTTCCCATGGCAAGGTCTTACCCGTCTCTGTGAGACCCCACCTGCAGTGCTGTGTCCAGCTCTGAGGCCCCCAGCACAAGACAGACATGGAGCTGCTTGAACAAGTTCAGAGTAGGCCCCAGAGATGCTCAGGGGGCTGGAGCACCTGTCCGGTGAGGACAGGCTGAGAGAGTTGGGGTTGTTCAGCCTGGAGAAGAGAAGGCTCTGGAGAGACCTTCTAGTGCCCTTCCAGTGCTTAAAAGAGGCCTATAAGAAAGATGGGGAGGGACTCTTGATCAGGGGTGATAGGACAAGGGGTAACAGTTTCAAACTGAAAGGGGATATTAGATTAGATATTCAGAAGAAATTCTTTATTGTGAGGCTGGTGAGGGACTGGCACAGGTTGCCCAGAGAAGCTGTGGCTGCCCCCTCCCTGGCAGTGTTCAAGGCCAGGTTGGATGGGGCTGGGAGCAACCTGGTCTAGTGGAAGATGTCCATGCCCATGGCAGGGGGGTTGGAACCAGGTGATCTTTAAGGTCCCTTCCAACCCAAACCATGAGTCTATGATCTTGCAAAGATCATGGGTTCACTTGAGCAGCAAAGTCTCCACCAGGAGCAGGTCTGCCAGGACATGAGCTCAAGGTCTGCAGCTTGGAAAGCTTCATTTTTCCCTTTGGTTTCCCAGCCTTTCCCACCGACCAGCCGCTGCTGCCTGGATGCAGTGCAGCACCCAGACCACAGCACCTCCACCCCGAGAAGCCTTCCTTTGTGGAGAGGAGCTTCACCTGTCGCTTCCGCTGCTTGCTGGATAACTCCTCGGGATTTCTGGTAACGCAGCCCTGTGCTGGGACACCCCGCTGCCCCCAGCGTGTTCCCTAGAGGCTACTCATGTCCCATAAGGGCAGGAGCACAGCCAGTTCCCATCACCATGTTTGCTTCACGCCCACAATTTCTAATCCCCTCTAAGGCCTTGAATTTCCGCGGGCGCTTGAAATTCCTTCTTGGACAGCAGAAGTCAACATTGGACAGGTCCCCACTCGCTCTCTTCGCCATCGCAACTCTCCTCCAGCCCCTCTCCATCCTGGAGCTTCGGACCAAGACACTGATCTTCCAGACAAAGCACAAGCTGGACTTCACTCCCATGGCCTGTGATTCCCGGTAGGGCATCTCTCACCTTCCCTGTGGCAGTTCCTGGTGCTGGACAGAAAACCAGAGCCTGTGGGAGCAGGGCACTTCTGACCCAGCTCCCATGGCAAGGCGTCTAATGCTTTTGTCCATCTGCTGCAGCCCCCCAGTAGCATGGGGAGCACATTAACTGGGTGCCAGTACTTCTTGGCTGCTGTGTTTTAGCCCAGCAAACCCAGCACAGGGTGGTTTTGTGGAAGAGGGGATGCAGCTCAGCCCAGGATGGAAAGTTGCACTACCCAAAGTGGGAGGCTTTGGCTAGCTGCCTGGGTGCTGGGCAGGGGATAACATCTGGCTGGTGGGGTGCAACTGAGGGAATCCCAATTTGGTTTCTGCGCTATTTCCAGGGGGAAGGTCATCCTGGGGTACACGGAAACGGAGCTGTGCAGGAGGGGATCCGGGTACCAGTTTGTGCATGCGGCCGACATGATGCACTGTGCAGAGAACCATGTGAGAAGTGAGTGCTGGGGGTGGGGTGGGGAGCAGTGGTG